GAGAGACAGAGACAAGAGCAGAGACAGATGCAAGATCAAAACAATCTTTTTTCTCTCTCTACTAGCCGTATGCGTTAGCGCCTTGTTCCCTTCCGCCCCTCCCTCCATATTTATAAGCTCTTTGGGTCCGACACGCAATAAGTTAATAGAATACGTAATTTGTAAGCATTTATAAGTTTCTTTTTATTATTTTGAATATATAAACTTCATACATGTATGATAGAACTCCATAAAATGTATGTTTTAAACAATTTATTTGTACGCGTTCAGTATACAGAAAATCTATGCAATGACAGTTCAATTATACTGGTCATTGAAATACACAAACAACAGATATAATAAAGTAGAATTTTCACTACCAATCAAGTAGCCATTAGCAGCCCACCTGTGGGCATGGTGTCTCCTATTATGCACCATAGCACACGGTACACTTATTCTCTGAATACTCACCACCTCGCGATTCGCAATTGCTTAGGGCGTACTGAAAGTTTCTGGATTCTGATGAATAAGACTAGATATAAGACTTACGAAACATTTGTTATTTTTCAAAGTATATTCCCTCGCAATTAATGCATTTTTGTATTCGCTGAAACCACTGTATAAAGCAGTTGGATCAGTCTTCCTTCGTGACCTCTTCAATGGCTTCATGGTACGCATTCACCGCTGATTCAGGGATCGTAAAACGTGTGCCTCGAAGTACGTCTTTAATTTTTGGAAACAAAAAGAAGTCGCAGGGTGCGAGGTCCGGGCTGTTAGGATGCGTCATCAGTTCCACATTTGAAGACTTCAAATAGGCTTCTGTCACCTTAGCGGAATGTGAGGATGCGTTATCGTGGTGAAGAAGGACATTGCTTCGAGGATGGGTTTCGACTTAACCTGGGCAAGCAAGTCTTGACATACCAATAGGCAGCCACTGTCCTTTGATCTTCAAGCGATACTGTAGCGTAATGTCCTGATTTGTCGAAAAAAGAAGCAACCATTTTTTACTAATGCATCGACTTTTCTTAACTTTCGTCGGCAAATCTTCAAAAGGAAAGACCCACTCTGCCGACTTGCTTTTTTTCTCTCTTGTTGACTTAAGCTATAACGTAAATCATAAAAAATCATTGGACGAAAATGTTCACGAGTTAAATTCGTTTTGACAGCGACACACAATTTTCGAAAAGACCTCACAATGAAAAAACAAATGACAGTCTCGCAAATTAAAAGGTAACATGTTCCCAAAGAGTTTCGAATTCCATAATTTTTTTTTTTTTTAAAAGACTACGCCCGCATTAGGAATACATCCTGTGTCGCGGGGGACTTTACAAACATACATGAAACGGACACAAAGAACACCCAGACTCAGAACAACAATTTGTGGATCACACAAAGTGTCGTCCCATGTGGGGTTTGAACCCACAATACTCGACGTAGTAGGAAGCGGCGTGGCAACCGCTTAAACCACTACGCCATCCGTGCAGCAGTGCAATTGTTTTTTATTCTTTTATTGTAATTGCCACAAATTTTTAGCTTTGGTTTTATCAAACTATATTAAGGCAGTCCCAGCTTGGACATATGATCTGATTAATGTCTGTAAATTAATTAGATCGTTTATTAAATTAATTTGAGTTGATTTGTTCGCTCGATGCGCAAGCGCACCGGATCGCCATTTGAGTGTCAAGAATGCGCGTGCACAAACGTAAACGAGTTGAGTTTGATTGTATTCCGCTTACAGAGGTTTGATTTTTACTTTTATTACAATTAGATATAACAGTTGGATTTATTTTTCATCATCATCATCATCATTTTTTTGTCCTATTTTCAATTTTATTAGAGCAATGGTAGAAGTAACGGTGGTGACGGATTAAGAATGCGGAGTGTCATCACCACTTTTTATCCCGTGGGTGTCGTAAGAGCCGACTAAGGGAGAAAACTCTGCAGGCCAACAGCACTGCAAAGAGAAGGCAAACTTGGAAAAAGCTTATACCAACACGTCTGGCCAGCGTGGTTTAGAAGGTCAAGACTCCTTTCTAAGGAGAGGTCTATGTCCAGCAGTAGACTATTAGAGGCCGTTGATGATGAAGAATCTATTTGTCTAAAAGGTTTTGGATGCTGTCTTTAATGAACTGCCGTCTGCATTAAGCGAACTATCCTTAGATAAGTAATCGTTTCCTGACGGGACGGAGGAAGAATGGAAACTAGAGGTTTTTTTCATGGAAGAGTGGGCAGCCGTGTAAATGGGTCACCTGAAGGAAAGTGACTACCGCCGTCCACGAACGCCTGCAACTCAGGAGTCACAAACGCGTTGCCCGCCTTTTACTAAGGATTACGCTCTTTTCTTAAAGGTTTGAAGGTTGTATCGGTCCGGAAATACCGATAAATAACAGTTAAGTAAGGAGAATGGAAATGGATTCTGCAAATCTCGGATGGGACTGAGACTACAGCAACTCGAAGCGGCTGAGATTGCGTACACTTATATCAGTCCTGTGATTGGAGGGGTGACTGGGTCAGGCACATCAACTGGTCTATTTTGATTGGAGAGCCATGCTTCAGCATAAATAGGCCAGCTCGACTGGAGTGATACCACAGCCTCACTGAAAACCGGTGTTCAGCAACTCTTTCGTTGAATATCGCCGAATGAGTGAGATTACCAGTACTCATGGGGTGACTCAGAGTGTGGTAACGCACTGTGCTCTTAATTGGCATGTGGCCATGGGTGGCACTGGTTACTTTACACTACCTGGTGGAAAGCAAACGAGCAAACAGATAACCTGATTTGTTTGCTCGTTTGTTTCCTATACGATAAAAAAACATTAGCACACGATGTCACTCACTTGTTGATGTCACTTTTTTTCAAGTATATATTTAAAGTAAACAGAACTTCTAAGAACATGGAATGAAAAAAAAGTAGCTGAAATTTTATAAATTCCCTTTTACATGTCTTTTGTATTAGCATGTTTAAGAATTACAATCGACTTAGACTGCCCCATTTCCTGTTGTCATAATATATTATGATTGTTGAAGCACCTACGCAATTCGCGTGAGCAATAATGCGTATGCCCTTAGGTCGTCTATTTACTTTTTTGCGCTTTACGCTTATGTGTATATATTACATAGATATCGGTACATTACCATTGTCACGGTACTATTATAATACAGTAGTGTAACTCGGCCGCATGATAGAAATAAATGCCTACAGCCGCGCGGTACGTAAACATGCGTTAGGGCTGCCCGTCTCCAGCATTTTATTTATATTTGCCTACTTTCTGTTTCTATTTAGATTTGTGATTGTAAATATCCTTTTTATATAAATAAATGAAATACTTTGTATATTGAATAGGAAGTGAGCCCGCGATAAAAGCTGCAATAGCTTAAAAATCCTTCTATAGAATAAAAAAATGTGCTTTCTCCTTACGCGTTACAAAACTCCAATCCTTAGAAACTCCAACTCCTACCTACTCAACTAGAATGCAAGAAACAGCTGACGAGTAAGTAACTTTTTATCTCAGCTTATTAACGTCTCCATAAATTAGGTACCTACCTACAACTCAAAACAAAAATTCTTTAGTCACCAATTAATTAATTATTAAAAAGCTGAACAGCTGACTACGAATGTTTTAAAATCACAACCCTCAAACATCTAAATCTATACGAATATTTTAAAGCTGAAGAGTTTGTTTGTTTGAACGCGCTAATCTCAGGAACTACTGGTCCGATTTGAAAAATTCTTTCAGTGTTAGATAGCCCATTTATCGAGGAAGGCCATATATCATCACGCTAAGACCAATAGGAGCGGAGCACCAATGAAGAATGTTTCAAAAACGGAGATAATTTATTACTATTGAGAGACGCAGAGGAAGTTGCGCGGGTCAGCTAGTATTATATATGAGTCTAGCTGTTGTTGTTAATACCGAGAAATTGAAACCAGTTTTTAGTGGTATATGTTGTTATAGTAGCAGCAGAAACACTTTGTGAAAATTTCGAAAACTATCTAATGACACACAGACGGTAAAAAATTGTTTCTAGTATTATTCATACACACAGATAATAAACAAATATTATTAAAAATAAAATACCACGTCTTTACTTTGAATTATGCAAAGTAACAAAACACACATGCACCGAAGTTTTAACACAAGCGTAAGTAGGTAGGTACCTACCGTATCATGATTCATTCAGAACCGCATATAACTACCTATTTCACTCGTCTCAATAACTTTTCGTTACTCTATTCGCTTTATTAATCCAAACACCTTTTTTTTCGTAAGATAAAAGGAAATACTTATCCATTAAAAAGACACACATTATGTACCTACCTACTAGTAAGTAAAATTATTTTATAGTCTTACCTTTCAGAGTTTCCAGGTAATTTAAAAAAACTTATGTCTGGATGCGTTATTGACGAATTCCTACAACCAAAAACAGCACAATATTTCCTACTCGTCATATTAACTGATTTTTAGAGAAAAAAACGCGCGGTTATTGTTAAAAAAAACAACACACCGTCCGTTCGACACTGCGGTATAGCCGTGATTGTCTGCGCCCCGAGCGCACCCCGAGATCGAGGCGCGTAGGTATAGCTCGCGTTTCGTCCGTTTGTATGAAGTTGGAGTACTGTATTATAATTGTACCGTGCCATTGTGTACTTCAATCTATACTTTTCAGCTTTTACAAGTTTTACCACATCGCTGCTTTTTATTTTCAATCTATTAGCCGGATAACAGTCTGTACAATGCTAATACGTGCAAATTCATAAAACATGTAATCTTTGACTGAACTTCGATATTTACTTGAAGCGACTACCATCAGACCTTCACAACCCAAGTACTAGGCGATATCAAAGTTCTCTAGATAGACTGTTGTCGAATTGTTAGGGCTCTAATTGTTTGTTTTTTTTTGCTTAATTTTTAGTTTAACATTCCCATATTTACAATTTTTACCAATTAGTTGTAATTAAAAAGATTCTACCAGGCGCGGTTCTTTCCAGACGGATTCTGATGTATATTGTTGTGTTTCAGATTCCAGAACATCATCAGAGTACAGCGTCAGGGTTCAGCGATGGCGACAATACAGCAGATGACCACACAGAGGTTCTCTCAGACGACGAAAGAGCTAAGTGAGTATTTTATGCCACAATGTGTAGATCTGAAGAACTGTGTCCTTTCTGGCACAATAGTTTCTAAGATGTAATTTTCTTAAAGTGTTTCCAAGGAGTGTAATTTATCATGAGTAGTGCATTGACATTCTATTATTAGTAATTTTAACTAAACTATAAGACTCCCAATATTAATAGTCGCCACTGAAGACTTCCACTATCCACCTACTGGCTCCATCATTGGATCAGCCCACAGATGCCAAATTATTAAACAGTCATCTTAACTATTAACAGCATTTAGTAGTCCACTGCTGGACATAGGCCTCTCCTTTGAAATGTGGTGGTACAACGCTGGCCAGACGGGTTGTTATAGGGTGCGTTTCAAGTTTTCCTTTTCTTTACAGTGCTGTTGTCATTCGTAGTTTGCTCCCTTAGTCGGCTCTTACGACACACACACGGGATGAAAAAATGTGCCACCCACACACGGAGTGACACACTTTTTTGTATTTTTAATCCGTCATCCACACGGATAATCATCATCGTCATTCTCACTAAATATACATAAAAAAATAATTTCGATAGAACTAGGTGGGTTAAAATTGAATTTAGTAATTAGTTAGAAAGCGAATTATTTACTTAGTCAACGATCTTCCAAATAAGTCTATTACTAAGTTCCGATTTACATCTAAAATGACTTACAAACGCATAACACATAATCCTTTTAATATTGTGCAACCTTTGACCCAAATTCTTTGATGAAGACACTCAAATCTAGGTCTTACCGTAGGAGGGTGTTGCACCAAATCAGCGGTTAATAAGGAAGTTAGAGGAATGACCGGCCGTGGTGCGGCGGTGCATTGCGAAATATCGAACGGTGTTATATGGCCCAGCGTAATTCAATTGAGTTAGTTGCGAGCGTTCAACTTTTGCAACCAACTCTTTGTATAAATAAACTTTAATTTTGGAGCGTCGGAAAGAAAGAATCTTTAAAAAAAAAAACAGAATTTTTTAAATGTGTAGTGAGAGGTATTAGGCTAGTTTTATTTTGGTTCGGATGTCTTAATATCAGCTGTTCCCGGACCCCTCCTATCTTAGGGGCGAAGTGGCACATCGTGTGGTTTTAATCGCCGCAACCCCTGGTTGGGTGACGGCCCGATGGCCCACACGTTAAAAAAAAGGCTACTGTCATTTTAAAATCCAATTATTTTGGGAGGTCTATCGTTTGAGAGTATCCGTGTGGTGACGATTTAAGAATACGGAGTGTCTCCACCCCTATTCATCCCGTGGGTGTCGTAAGAGCCGACTAAGGGATCAAACTACGCAGGACAACAGCCCTGCAAAGATAAGGTAAACTTGAAACAAACTTTATTCCAACCCGTCTGGCCAGTGTGGTATAGTAGGCCAAAACCTCCTATCTAAGGAGAGGCCTATGTCCAGCAGATGACTACTAGAGGCTATTGATGATCGTTGAGAGCCAGGCCAAGTGATGGACACAGAAAACCGGTGTTTAGCAATTCTTTCGTTGCTTACACCGAGTGTGTGAGGTTACCGGAGTCATAACCCTTCAAAGGGCGACAACGTACTTGTGACTATTAAGTCGAAGGTTCATGGACAGCAGTTTACCATCAACACGGAGCAAATACAAACAGAAGGTGTTGTAATTAGAATTCTCTATGAAACAACGCGTGACAATTTCCGGGGTGAGGGGGTTTTGAGCTCCGCCCACTTCACTTTTTTCCATCGACCAAATGATAGCAAAATTACTCGCATTGTTCTGTATCGATGTTGCTATTTAGGTTAGCTAACTAACAATCAAGCATGCAGCAGGCATATATATTTTTTAATTCGAATTGACTTTGACATTGACTATTTTTAAACATTTGTCAACAGTCGCCTTGTAATTAACTATTCAATTTTAAATCCCGATTTTTTAAGTTTAATTAAACTTTATAACTTTAAACATCACTTTGCTTGTAAAAACGTACATACTATTAATTTATACATATAATTATATGTTATATGGTTTATTACGTAATATTAAGTAATTGTTTAAATAAAAAATTATGACACTTTTAATTTGATAGGTGTGTGTGTGTGTGTGTGTGTGTTTTTTATAGCATTGAAGAGCAAACGAGCAGACGGAAGAAAAGTCCGTGTGGTGACGGATTAAGAATACAAATTGTTACCACCCCAATTCTTCCCGTGGGTGTCGTAAGAGCCGACTAAGGGAGCAAACTAAGCAGGACAACAGCACTGCAAAGAGAAGGAAAACTTGAAACAAACCCTTTTTTTTTTTTTTTTTTTTTTTACGTGTGGAAATCCCCTCGGACCGTCACCCCGCCGGGGCTCTCGTTCGGCGGGGCGGTGTGTCGGACTCGAACCGACTAAAACCACACGGTGTGCCCTCTTTGCGCTTCCAGTTTAGGAAGGGTCCAGGTAGCTATCTCCTTCTGGACCCTTCCCAGCGCCGGCCCGCTCCTGGTGCGGGCCCCGTCTCAGTGGACCCTCTCTTTAGGCGGCGTCCGGCACACGCGGACGCCGCCCCCTCGCGGCTGGCCAACTAATGCGGGTGGAGGGGAGAACCCATCCCGTCCACCCGCGGCCACACTCAGGGCGGCATGAGGCGCAGGTAAGCGCGCCTCCGCCGCCCGGTTCGCCGGCGGCGAATCAGGTCCGAGTGGAGGTCGTCCTCCCGGGCCTTCTCCGCCGCCTCCTTCTGCGAGATTACCTCCTCGCAGAAGGTTGCGACCGCGGTAAAACAACTGTCGCTACCGGCCATGGAGCGAATTACGGCCGGTAGCGAGAGATCTGCTCCGATGACTGCAGTGAGGGCCCGGCGCTGCGTCGCCCATGCGGGGCAAACCGCCAGCGTGTGCTGGGCCGAATCCTCACTGCAGTCGCAGTGGTGGCAGGCGGGACTCGATTCCCTCCTAGCGACCGAGTGCAGGTACTTTCCGAAGCAACCGTGCCCGGAAAGCACCTGCGTCAGCCGGAAGGAAAGGGTCCCGTGCTGCCGCCCTGCCCACTCGGCGATGACCGGCTGGAGAGCCTCCACGGCGGCGAAGCCAGCGCGTGGAGTCTCCAGCCGGAACGACCATCTCACCATGGTGGCTCGGCGAGCGGCTTCGCGCCACTCGCGCACGTCTTCGGGCGGAGGGCGAAATCCGCTCTCCGCCCGGAAGTCAGCCACTCGCCGATAAACTTCGGCGAGCACTTCCGCCTCCAAATCCCACGGGGGTGTTCCGGCCAAGGCACAGGCCGCTTCGGTGGACACCGTGCGGTATCCGCGTATGGCTCTGACCGCCAATATCCTCTGGGGGCGCCAGAGGCGCGCCCTATTCGGGGCGGTCAGAGCCGCCACCCACACCGGTGCACCATAAAGCGCCATGGACCGGACAACCCCCGCGTACAGCCGCCTCGTGGGAACACTGGCCCCACCCAAATTGGGCAAAAGTCGCCCTAGGGCGGAGGCAGTGTCCACCAGCTTCGGACCAAGCTGTCGGAAGTGCTCGTCGAAGAGCCACCTACCGTCTAGGACCAGACCCAGGTACCTCATCTGGGCCCGGACCGGTACGAGGACCGAGCCGACCTCGATTGAGGCGCCGGCGGGTGGACCACGACGGGGCCCATGAAATAATAGGGCCTCCGTCTTATCCAGGGCCACCCGCAAACCCAACGCCTCAATGCGCCCGACCACCTGGGAAACTCCCGTGGCGGCCAGGCGCGCCGCCTCCTGGAAGTTAGCCCCCCGGGCCGTGACTAAAGTGTCATCCGCGTAGCAGATTACACCCAGCCCGGGGGGGAGACGCCCTCGTAGGGCCCAGTCGTACCCGATGTTCCACAGGAGAGGTCCTAGGACAGACCCCTGCGGAACACCGCACGACATGGCCCTGCGTCTCAAGACGCCATCTCGGTCCTCGTACATGACGGTTCGCTCCTCAAGATAGTCTGCCACCAGCCGCCTCAGGTACTCCGGCACTCCGTGGTAGCGGAGCGCTTCCCTGATGCAGCTGAATGGCAGACTATTGAAGGCGTTGGCGATGTCCAAGGACACCGCCAACACCACTCCGCCGCAGCTCACGGCCTCCTCGGTCACGGCCCTAAGGCGCATCACGGCATCGATCGTCGAACGCCCCTCTCGGAAACCGAATTGGGCGTCCGACAGATCGGGGCCAACCTCGCAAAGGTGCCGGACGATGCGGGCAGAGAGCACCCTCTCAAAAAGTTTGCCCGCCTCGTCCAGCAACACGATAGGCCTATAGGCCGCGACCGATTCGGCAGGCCGTCCCGGCTTCTGCAACAGGACCAGCTTCCCGCATTTCCAGCGCTCAGGGAAGCGTCCGGACGCCAGGCTAGCGTCCAACACTTCCCTGAGGTGGTCCGACATGTAGTCGAGGGCTCGGGCCATCACTCGGGCTGGAACCCCGTCCGGCCCGGGGGCAGTGTTCTTGGATCTAATCCGTAGAACAGCCGCCCCCAACTCCGATTCCCTGACGGGCGGAACATCTGCCTCGCTGCCCCCGTCGTCTCCGGCTGATGCAGCCATCGACGGGGGTGTGTGCTCCGCCCGCTGCGGGAATAGGCCCTCGACCACTTCCTGCAGGAAGCTGGGCTGGAGAGTCTCCGTAAGGGGGGGGCCCGACGTGCGGAGCTTTTGACGCACCGCACGATAAGGGCGACCCCAGGGGTCACGCTCGAGACTCTCCAGCATCTCCTCTCTACATGCATCCTTGGCGCGGCAGATGGCCAGCCTCAGAGTTTTCCGAGCTTCTCGGTACTCCTCATGAAGCCGGTCCACCTCCTCACCGACCCCGCGGTGACGTCGCCGACTACGGGTGAGGGACCTCCGGGCACGTACACAGGCCGCACGGAGGTCCGCCAACTCCTGGGACCACCAGTAGACCTCCTTCCTTGGAGGCCGACAACCACGAACGCGGGGCATGGCCGCATCGCAAATCTGCGTAATCGCATTGCAGAAGCGACCAGCCCCCATGTCGACCTCCTCGGTCGGGGCCTGCGGA